CATCAAGCACGCCTCAACCAAGAATAGCTGTAAAACAACGTCTCGTGCTTTGTTCAATCAACACAGTAACCAGCGTGTTCACCTGAGAATGGGCTAAAATACCACAAAGCCTCTTGCGGACAGCATGCAATAGTTTCATAAAGAGTTGGTTTTTGTACACAAAACAATACAAAAACCAAAGAAAACATAACTCTTTACGTGCACCTTATATGTTTTCAAAAATAAAAGTTACTCTTGATTTTTATATTTATAAGGTAAAAATAACTGTAATTTGTGTGTTTTAAAATAATAAGCAGACTGTAAGAGTTATTTCTGTTTGAAAAAATAAAAGGCATATGATAATAATTATTTTTGATAAATATAACATAAAGAAAACTTATTTATTATTTTTTAGTTTTATTTTAAAAGCGAATTATAACAGTTATAAGGTGATTTTCATTTCTTTAATCATAACTGTTACGGTCCTTCGAAAAAGGACAATAAATTGAATTATGTAACGACACTTCCTTGGGGTCGTTGCTTATTTGCTGAGGTATGCTCAGTCTCGCCAAAGTCGCCACAATGAATTGATAAATTGCGACCAAAATATTCAAAGACGTAATATTTTATTTAAATTTCTTTATTTCTACTTTTATTAAGTATAATTATTTCAAAATCATAATTTAAAAAAAAAATGTATTTTTAAAAGAATAGAGATGACTTTCTAAGAATCTTTAGCATAAGCGTGTTTGAGTGTCTTCGGGAGGTTTTCTTCCTTCAGGCCCCTGCGTTATATACTTTTTTTCTTATTATTTTTTATTATTATTTATTATTATTTATTATTTTTTATTATTTTTTATTATTTTTTATTATTTTTTATTTTTTTTATTATTTTTTCTTATTTATCTAAGAGAATTTGACAAGAAATTTGATTTGTTAGAGATTTTATTTTATATATTGCATGGAATTACTTCATACACCGTCGACGTGAAACCACCTGTCATGTCTTAGTATTTCCACTCAATTATTCCTTCGTTTGGACACTTTACTTATAGCAAGTGTCCTTTTGTATATTACAAAGAATTATCTTCGACACAGTCGACGTGATACCACTTGGCGTGTCTTGATATTTCAGTGTAATTATTCTTTCGTTTGGATATTTCTGTTATCAAAAGTATCCTGGTATATATTATTATTAGGAATTACTTTGGGCACAGTCGACGTGACACCACCTGTCGTGCCTTGATAATTCTATATTATTATTCCTTTGTGCACCAAATGCTTAGCTGAACTTGATATTCTGAGATGTATGTGCCTTTGAAGTTATATTGCAAGTCACCTTCATAAGAAAACTGCGCCTCTTAAATACACATCAGCCGAACTTTTTGTGTAGCGTTTCGGTTTTGTTTACTGCTGGTCATCTGGTACTCATTATGCATTTCTACTTTCTTTTGCACTCTCTTCTTGTCATCTTCGAATAGCTTCCACGGCGAACATTTTTGGCAGTTCTTGTTTTCTTATTTCGCTATTCTGCTGTTTTATTTTGATTTTTACAAAACGAGTTTTTTTTAAACTGCTTTCGGTCGGTGGTTTTATTTATTTTATTTGTTATAGTAAAATAAAAATATTAAAAGTGCAAACATTTATTACCAGTCAATGTTCTTTTTCAAATTTAAATATAAATATAAAAAAATGTGTTGTTTTTATAAAAAATCTGTGTTGTGCTGGCATGTTTTAGTTTGTGTTGTTATTGTCTTTAGTGCATGTTTATGTAGGTGGAAATTTAGTGTAAATTTCCATCCTTGCAATTATTAAAAATTAATAAGTTCTTCATAAATTTTAATTTCTACTGGAAAATGAAAATGAACCAATGGTCGAATTTCAATCACTTGCCGAATACTAGCAATGTTTATAATACACACACCATATCACTTGTTATACGTTAGGTTATTATTTGAATTTTATATGAAGTTAAATAAAAAAATAATAATAAATAAAATAAAATATAAATATAATAATATAAATAAATATAAATAAAATAATAAAATAAATAATAAATAAAAAGACTTACAAACCTGGAAATAAGAATTAAATTTAATTTTCATATATAGCAACAATCATTTTGCGGACAAATTTTTTTGTAATGTATTCACTACGAATAATGAAACCACACTGTGCTGTATTGTTAACAACTCATCAAACACGATTTAGTTGCAAACAATGCATTGCTTGTCTACGTACCCTACAGATGCTCAAACATTACCAGAAAACATGCTGTTTAAGTAAACAGCATCCTTACTCATTGGCGTGACAGACAACTTTTGACATGAATGCTCCAATAGAACATTTTTGGTGCTTAAGAATAACTTGACATCACTGCCTAAATATATGACAAGTAAGAAAAGTATGAACAAATTTGCGTTTGAATTTTATAAAATAAAAGTAGTTAAAAAAAATTGCAGCTAAATAAGTTTTGGTGCATGATAAAAATTATTTTTTATATACACTTATTGATTCCTGAATATGGGCAAGATTCAACCATATACGATTTTTTAAAAATAACTCCAGATAAGAAGAAACATGCATTAATACTAGAAAGCGAAACGTTTCTATTACATTATTAAAGACAAATTGTTACGCGATTGGTTTATATAAGTCACAGCACGTTGACTATCAACAGTGTATTCTTCATTTAATCTAGAATTATGTGAACAGTAACTTAATGAATAAAAAACCATTATCTTCAAATAATTTACATAATTTTGCTGAAAGACTATTATATTCATATAAACAGGAAAGTTTTACAAAAAATAAGAAAATATTTGTATATGATTTTGATTTGTATTTATTTATGTATTACATATTTTAATGAACACAGAAATTAAAAATTCCATAATAAATAATTAATTTCTTCACAATTACTAAGCTGTCAATCATTTTCACAAATTTTATCAACAAAATTACCCTGTTATCAAATTAAAATCACTCTAACATACGCAACAGTTGTATATAATACACAGCTGGCTGGAGTTTTTCATTTCCTTCCAAAAATCATTCACAATAGATTAGTTTTAAGATTTTGCACCATTATAGTGTGAGAGGTTTATTCGTTAAGCACTTTTAGGAAAGTGGGTTTGTTTTTGCGAATTTTCCTTTTGCTTTGCATTTTAGAAGATATGTCGCTTACATGTTCTATTGGCGCATTCATATCAAAAGAATATACCTAATATATACAGTGTTATATTACATGTATTATACATATCGTGATTAAATCCCCCCAATTATTTTCACTATTCTAATAAAGGTTTTTATTCTGCAAAAAGTTTACTTTAAAACAAAGTATACACAATATAAACTTTGTTTATATTAGATGGGACATCTTTAAGAAGTAAAATTTCGTTCTATTTAAGTGTTATATGGTGAATAACAAAGAACATCAGTCAAAGGACAAAACCCAGCCAAACTTAAGCAAAATGAAGAGAAAATGTCAAAGAAAATTTATTTTTCATAATGCTTCAAATTTTATAATAAAATCTTTATTTGAAAAGAAAAGTGCAGCTCTTCACACGGAGAACTACCTAAATTGTAAATTATCAAGACCTAAATAGTATTCATCAAAAATTGCAAAATGTCACAGTATTATGTGACAGAATACATATTGCAGTTGAATTAAATAAAAAAAAATTTTCATAATATATTGGTACACGTATTGAATACATGTGAATGTATCACATGACATCAAATTTTTATTTTGTAAGTACAGTACAATGATTTGTTACCACTGACTTGTCAATTTTCTTATGCGACAGTCCCCAATTAATGAATTATAGAATTGATTTGCGCACATATTTTTTTTTAGCAAAAGTGCTAAAAATCTAAAATCTATATATTAAAATATGCAATTGCTGACAATTTTTGTGGTGAACAAGCGTTTTGATAGTTTAACTATATATTTTCATCATTTTTAGCAATAAGTATGTGTTTACATATATAAAAATGTATGGAACAAAATTTTCATATAATTCATTGAAAAAAATATTATTTTAATTTAAGAATATAATTATGAATAAATTACTAAATATTATATTAAAGGACATAACAATATTAACTTAATTAGTTTAAATGCAAAGTTTTAAACAAAAACTTTTTTTATATTATTTTTATAAAAGAATTTATACAAGATTTTAAAAAATTATGTTCCATGCATTTTTAGTTAACCTGTTTGTAGAATGCTATTAATAGGGCTGTTCCACGAGCTATTCGTAGTAACTTTGAATAACACTGTGTATACATAAGTGCGTTCCACCAGCAAATTTTTAAATAAATGAGAGCATCTGAGAGAGCATAACATCCATGTCAAAATTTAAAAATGCTACACAAACTTTACTTGTACATTTTATTTTAAGTAAAATTTTTATTGATGTGTGAATCAGCTGTTTTGGTTCGAATTTAAAGTTTTATGTCGTTTATTTGCGCGACATTAGTGTTACACAAAGCTATTCTATGAAAATCTGTGTAAAGAGTATAATTTGACACTTTATTTGTGTTACACTCTCATTTTGTACTTTACTTGTGTTCGTGAACGGTTCTATTATTTACATGAGATATATATAAATTGAAGAATATGTATGTAAATTTTTGTAATATTTGTATATAGAATGTATAAATATTTTTTGTTTTCCAGAATTTAAATGATTTTATATATATTTGAATTATTTACACACATATATATAAAATTTGCACATCCTTCAACACATTTTCATTTTTTTAATAACTAAGTTTATATAGTTTTATTATATTATATATTATAACAGCTCAATATGGTGCCAGTTTCAACATCATTTACCCATTTTAAAGTATTTACGCTGTAAGTTTAAAACAATTTAACTCAAAGCATCGGAAAAATATAAAATAATAAAATAAAAATTATAAATTCAGTTGTTAGTAATGTATTTTTTACGAACATGCAAAATTACTCCACGGCTAATTGTTGTTGTTCTAAACGGAGTTGCCGTTCTTATAAGGTACTCTTTGGTAAATAATTTTAAAAAACAGAGTTGTTGCGCCCTTGCCATATGTTTTCTTGCACGAGTTCAGTTGGAGGCAAAATATTGTTAAGCGGTGTAGAAATATAATATTCATAACAAATTTTAAGATGATAAAAGCTAGGATGTTAACAAGCAATTTGGCTTTAAATGTAGCCTTAAAAGCGCTGCCTCAAGTGAGTATAATTATTTTAAAGAATTATAAATTATTTCTGAAGGTGTGTTATTTTTATTATATAATTAAACTTATATTAAAATTTGAAAAGACCGATATTAATGTAATATTTTTTTTTTTTCATTTATATACAAACACAGTGCGGTTATTGCACCGCTTTAAAGTTTACGGAACATAAACCTATCGAAAAAATACGGAATATTGGTATATCAGCACATATTGATAGCGGGAAAACAACTTTAACCGAGCGAATATTATTCTACACCGGACGTATTGCAAAAATGCATGAAGTGAAAGGAAAAGACAATGTTGGTGCTACAATGGATTCAATGGAGCTTGAACGTCAACGTGGTATAACGATACAGTCTGCAGCAACATACACGCTGTGGAAAGATACTAACATAAATATTATTGACACGCCTGGGCACGTGGATTTCACTGTTGAAGTAGAACGTTCGTTGCGAGTATTAGATGGAGCAATTCTTGTGCTTTGTGCGGTAGGTGGAGTGCAAAGTCAAACATTAACAGTAAACAGACAAATGAAGCGTTATAATGTGCCATGTTTAGCATTCATAAATAAATTGGATAGATTAGGCGCGAATCCATATCGAGTACTCTCACAAATGCGAAGCAAAATGAATCATAACGCAGCATTTATTCAACTGCCTATTGGCTTGGAGGGTGACTGCAAAGGTATTGTAGATTTAATATCTGAAAAATCTGTATACTTTGAAGGCGACTATGGTACGGTTATTCGTTATGATGAAATCCCACAAAATATGCGCACCGAATCTCAAGAACGAAAGCAAGAACTTATTGAGCATTTATCAAACGTAGACGAAACTTTAGGCGAAATATTTTTAGAGGAGAGGACGCCGACAGAAAAAGATGTTAGAGATGCATTACGTCGTTCTTGTATTAAACGTACATTCACTCCTGTGCTTGTTGGAACTGCTTTAAAAAATAAAGGTATACAACCATTACTTGATGCGGCAATTGATTATTTGCCTAATCCGGGTGAAGTAGAGAACATTGCGCTAATTGAAAAGCCTGGTGACGAAGCTGAAAAAATTATCTTAGATCCATCACGTGATGGCAAGCAATCATTTGTTGGTCTTGCTTTTAAATTAGAGGCTGGACGCTTTGGTCAACTTACTTATCTAAGGTGTTACCAAGGAGTGCTGCGCAAAGGTGACAGTATATATAATGCGCGTACAAATAAAAGAATACGTGTTGCGCGATTAGTACGTTTACATTCAAATAACATGGAGGATGTCAATGAAGTGTATGCTGGCGATATATTTGCTCTATTCGGTGTCGACTGTGCTTCAGGAGACACATTCACTAGCAATCCTAAAGATAATTTGGCAATGGAATCTATATATATACCTGATCCTGTTGTATCCATGGCAATTAAACCAAATAATCCAAAAGATAGAGATAATTTCTCTAAAGCAATTGCGCGATTTACAAAAGAGGACCCAACATTTCACTTTTATTATGATAATGATGTAAAAGAGACTCTAGTTTCTGGCATGGGTAATTACAAATGAAATTTTTCTAAACAAGTTTGAAATGATTCGTTTTAACCAGGTGAACTCCATTTGGAAATTTACGCTCAGCGCATGGAACGTGAATACGGTTGTCCGGTTACTTTAGGTAAACCTAAAGTTGCGTTCCGCGAAACTCTTACTGGACCCTGCTCCTTCGATTATTTACACAAAAAACAGTCCGGTGGATCTGGTCAATATGCACGTATTATTGGTGTAATAGAACCACTTCCACCCCAGCAAAATACATTAGTTGAATTTCTTGATGAAACTGTTGGTACTAATGTGCCTAAACAATTTATACCTGGTGTTGAGAAAGGTTTTCGTGAAATGGCTCAACGTGGTATGCTATCAGGACACAAACTCTCTGGCGTTCGATTTCGCTTACAAGATGGTGGCCATCACATTGTGGATTCAAGTGAATTGGCTTTCCAAATGGCCGCACATGGTGCAGTTAAAGAAGTTTTCCAGGAAGGATCGTGGCAAATTTTAGAACCTATTATGTCAGTAGAAGTTACTGCTCCCGAAGAATTTCAAGGTTCAGTAATTGGCCATCTAAGTAAACGTCATGGTATAATCACAGGCACTGATGGTGCTGAAGGATGGTTTACAGTGTATGCAGAGGTACCATTAAACGACATGTTTGGCTACGCTGGTGAACTAAGGTAAGTTTTCTCATATATATATAAATTTTTTTTTTTATTTTAATCAAAAATTTTTATCTAGATCTAGCACCCAGGGAAAAGGCGAGTTTACAATGGAATATTCAAGATACTCGCCATGCTTACCTGATGTACAAGATCAAGTTGTAAGAGAGTATCAGGAATCCCAAGGCATTGAATTAGAAAAGAAAAAGAAAAAAAACTAATTCTTACATAAGTTAAAATTTAACAACGCGAATAGTCAACTTGTGTTACATGCAAAAAGTAATATTTTTTGTCACAATATGTCATTTGCTTTTTACATTTCTTGTTCATGACTGTGATATCGATAATTAGGCAATACTTTGCTTTTTTATACTATTAAAAAGTTTAAAAAAACAATACAGTAGTTATCGAATTTGTAAACTTACATATTGTTAATTTTGTATTTAAAAAGTCTTTTTCATTTAACAATATGGGATAAAAATTTCAGTATAAAAATTCAGTATAAAAATATTAGGCTTTACAACAGCAGATTGAATAATGTATTGACAAATGTTTCAAATTGATCGGAATATATTTTAACAATTTTTAATTTACTTGTACGTCGACAGTGCACGTATATTTTTATCAAATCATGTTTTATTATGGTTTGATTAAATCTATAGAATCCATATTCAATTTGAACAGAAATATTATCCCATTAATAGTGTTAAAAGTATTTACGCTATTGTTTATTATATATTAATTCTCGATAATATTGACACTCAATAATTTTAACATCGTTTTAATCCAGACTCATTTATCTTCATTATAATCTATATAATGCGGGGAAAACGAAAAGAAATATATTACTGCAACTCCAATCCAGACATAAAATTTTTTTATTTTACTTCTTAAATTTCCTATTTATACAATTTTATCAAAATCTTTCCTGTTTTAGCGGTTAGTATACATTTTATGGAAATTGATTTAAAAAAACAATAAATAAATGTACATGATTCCGGAGATCATATTAAATTCTATATATGACAACACATGTTAATTTTGATGTATGTCGAAAAACACACAAAGTTTTTATACATTATTGTTAAAAAATAAAAATCTCTCGATGACAAATCGAAAGTGGCAGCAATTTGGACACATCATTATATTATTTATAATAACAATTTAAACCACACAATAGTTATGTAAATTAAATAAACAGTAAAAATTTTGCTAAAATTTGACAATATAATACCCCTGAAAATGTTGAAAAGAAACAAACGAACCATTGGGTTTCCAAATGAAATAAAACAAATTTTATTTGTATCCCATTTAAGAGATCAGAGAAGTATTAAAATAAAAATCTTTCGCCAATTCGAATATTTAGGTAATCCAGACAACATTTAGTTCGTAAATGTCAAAATTGTCGAGAGTATACCATATAAATTTAATCTAAATATTTTGAGTTCATTATATATTATTTTAATTTATATCAGAGACCAAAAATAGTTGTAATTATTTTTTTTTATGAACTTCTAGCAATTCTAATAGCTATTGTTAACTATTGTCTGTAATAATTATTAATTGAACCAAATATGTTTCTTCATTTAAATAATTACTAAATAATAAACATTTTTTCAATCTTATCGTAAAAATTATTTTCAATAAAAATTGTTACTAAATTGCAGGATTATTAATATGAGTTAATATTCCTTTGATGATTATAATACATTTAAAAATTTTTAATCTTAGAACATTAATTCTCAATAAATATTTTTATATATCTTTGAGAAATAAGTAATATACAATAAACATCTTTTTAATTTTTAAAAAGTTTTTTCTCTTTTGATGTAACCAACCATTTGTAATTAATTTACATATAGTAGAATGGTTACTTAATTTGTACTTAATACTTTGCAATAAAATAAAAGGTAAATTTAATATAATAAAAGTTCATATTAAAAACGTTCAAATAAAAATAATTTTATAATTTACTATTTTGTTAATTTTTTGTGGATATAAATTAAATAATAATAATAACCATGAAAAACAATTAAAAAGCAAAACCTGAAAAAGCTTAAATCGTATTTTAAAGTTTTCATCATTATTAATAATTATCAATAGCTTTTGTAAGGGACAAAAAATGTATAGATCGTATATTAGTAACTCTGCAAAAACTTAATTAAACTTATTTGTTAATAATAATTATATTAAGGTTGAAAAAATAATTATATGTTAGAGGTTTGCACGGGTATTTTTTACTCGCGTGAATTGGGTGTTTACTTAAAGTAAAGCAAAACCGACAAACCGAAATGTTTTTAAAAAGTAAAAACCATTTATCGTAAGAACTAAAACAAAACTTGTTTGTTTTATTTACAGTAAGTAAACTATTTCCTGACAAATCAAGTACACGAGTATCGCGCAATAAGGTACGTACTGTATAAAAATTATCCGTACAACAAGAGTATGGGAATGTGAAATATTCATACTTCTAATATAAACTTTAAACTTGGTATAAGTATAAACTTTATTGTAAGTAAAAGTTTAAGCTAAATCTTAGTGTGGGTTGTAAAATAATTCCAACTATTAAAAGTCTTATAAACGATGTACAAGAATAAAGTCACTTTAGAACTTTAACTACTGAAGTAAACATTCATAACATGAGTGTGCATATTATGTTATGTGGTGATATCATAGTTTGAATTTGCCTATCTTTTCAAAAACCTATTTGCATCGGTCTAACTTTCAAGGACATGAAAACAGATGGGCGACGTCATGGGGAGAAGCGCTGCAGTTTGGGCACACGTTTTGGATGGACGTATTTATGCGAGACAAGTAACTGTTTAGCACTCGGCTATATCCTGATCTCAATTGAGCAAGGACAGTTCTTGCTGCACGCGGTAGCGAACGTTCATCCGAGGAGATATTAGGCGGAGGCCTATTAAGAACCTTGTTGTTAGACAACCTAGGTCTCGAAGAAGATACTGCATCGGTGTGGAGGGCTATAAGTCCACGTTTGTATTCGACCTCACTGATGTTAGCTCCGTTGCAAAAAGCGTCGATAGAATTATTAAAAGAGAGGAGAGATCGACGAATGCATCTAGGAGGAAGGGCACTACTAGCCATGACGCCATTTGGATGACCATCTGTGTGGCACGCGAGAAGATATTGTTTGGACAGTAGTTGATTATGCTCTTTTACAAGAAGCATTTTTGATTCTGCATGAAGGTGGTCGACATGCGACATGCTATGGCAGCCAGTTGCAACCCGCAATGCCGTGTTTTGACATGATTGGATCTTAGTCCATTGCGTCTCGCAGAGTTGTGGGGTCCATACTGGAGCCGCATAGGCCGCAATAGGACGTCCTATTGCTTTGTATGTAGTCAGTAGGGTTTCTTTATCCTTGCCCCATGAACAACCTGCGAGAGCTTTTAACACATTATTACGCGATTTCAACCGGTCACATACAGCAGACGCATGTGCAGAAAAAGTCAGCATACTGTCGAGAACGACACCCAGGATTTTCGGTTTGGTGGTGGTAGGGATCCTGATTTCACCGATATTTATGGGCAGAGTTAAGGAAACCTCTTTAGTCCAGGAAGTAAAGAGGGTGGCAGAAGATTTATTTGGTGATAGTTGAAGATTTCTATCAGCCAAACATGTTGCCAAGGATGGTAGATATGCATTTAACCTGTTGCACAGTATTGAAGGGTCCTGGCCCGTAGCAAGAATAGTGCAGTCATCTGCATAGGTAATGACTCTGACTCCCTCGGGGGGGTCCGGGAGTTTGGACATGTATAAATTGAAGAGGATCGGTGAAAGAACGCTGCCCTGGGGAACACCTTGTTTCAATTTCCTAACCTCCAGTCCTCTTTACTAATACATCATTCTGCATATTATTCTGAGTTATCAGAATAATAATATCTGAGCTTAGTAGTTATGAAAAGGGACAAAAGGAGCTCCAATGGCAACTAGAAAGCTACGAATTGCGGTCCCTCTATCAGCCAAGTGGTTTATATATAGACGACAACTTAAAGCTGTTTCTGAGATTTCCTCACGGAAGTACCTAAATATTTTCTACTTTGTTCTTTTAATTTCTTTATTGTAATTTGTTAATGCTTATTTATAAGAAGACCATTTCTGTGGTCTTACAACCACTTAGGTGGTTGTACTACCAAAAAGTATATTTCCTAAAAATTTTTTTTCAGTGCGCAATTTATTTCATACTCAGTTAATATAGACTTTCGGAGTATTTGTGACACATGTTCTGATCATTCTATAGTACCTACTCTGGTTTATAGATTGGTGGCGATTTCATTTCACAGTTTGCTAGTAACAGTCCCAGTTCTAGTCAGTTTGTGTCGTGCGTTTGATTGTAACGTCACTGAAGGGCATATTCTCAAGTCTTATTAGTAACATAGCTAGGGATGCGTCAAGCACTCAAACCGTAACTGTTGTAACGAAAATTTGACTACTATGTACTACTATGTAATTGCTCTGCTAGGTCTAAAGGACATTTGGTATCTTCCTTGATATTGATATCCCTATTGTTTGCAATAGCTATATCTTACAGCCGCACAAATCGGCTGCAACATAATCTGTTAACAAAAAAATAGAAATGTTATTTTAGACTATTCATGTTTTGGGTCTGCTTAAAGTGTTATAGTAAAACAATTTATATACCTGATTTAATAAGCCCCAAAATTTCGTTGTGCTGGTCCATGGTGCTTGCACAACGACTATACAAGGACCTTTGTTGTTGATGATCCTAGTTAGCTCTATCGCAGTTGTTTTAATGCCGTGGACAGTTATAATAATCCACCCTAGTTGAAAGGAACAACCATAAAAGCAAACTTTGAGACCGTCATCAGGAAGCTGATGAAGCTGCAGTTCCGTATAGTCCTACCTTCACTACAGCCTTGGCTTTTGAAAAAGGCAGCCTCTTAATGCGTTTTACAAGTTGCAGTTGGTATTTTGTTAATGCCGCTTTAAAAGTAAGGTTTAAGGCTTATATAAGGTTCTTAAGGCTTTTAGCTTTTTAAAATTCTGAGTACAGTTTTGGTCTTCATAGGAAGGGCTTGATGTTCTCGCACAGAACCTTATGTTTATACGGCCCCACACTACGTCAAGGAGCTTGCTACGTCTCCACTATGAGATGCTTTGTTTGTAAATTGTTTTTATTAGAGATAAATTTTCTTTCTCCCTAATCATTGTTGCATACTTTATTGGGTCGTTCAATTTTTAGAACCAGCCGTAATCAGTTACAGACGCAAAGTGTTTAATTTCATAAAAATCGTTTTTAATTTTAATATAAAACAATAAAAACAAAAATTTTACATCACATATTGTAGTAATAAAGTTGAAAAGCCACATTTGAAATGAAGTTTCTTTCCTTGTAAATATTCTTATTCAATTATGAAATGTTTTGAAACAAATGTATAAATTGTGTCAGATATAAAAGCTAAGAACTGGACTCCCAAGTTCAGCGTTCCTTTAAATATTTTTTATACAAGGAGGAAACGCATTGAAAGTGTAAGTCAGTAAGTTCAACACTTTAAAAATTTCCTTTCGATAGAACAGATATATTATCGCGAAATCACCATAGCATGGTTGTTTTGACTGTTTGCTTGATTTTAAATAAAAAGTCTTTGACTTATTCTTCAAAGGTGTTGAAGCAACAACAGCTGCGGTGCTCCTTTAAAGGCTTAATATCTAGACTATCTCGAAGACTCTAGAAACAGAAATGCTTGCTGGGTGTAATCGGGTTTTTTAACTGTTTTGATTTTTCGAGCGCTCTGTAAACTTTTCAGATTGCATTTCTTATTGTGTAATGTTTCGTGCTCGCTATAACATTCTTTTTGCTTGGTGGCAGTGCCTTATTCCTTTAGCAATTTCTTCACTCCTTCAGAAGTAGGTCTTCAACACTTATATATAGCGTGATCATTTCCGCCATGTTTAACACCAAATCAGAAGTTATGTCACCTTCTTACCATATTTGGAAAAAAAGCTTTTGTTTCGTTATTATTCGTTATAGTGACGTAGACTTCACTCCTGTGACTAGAGAACGATGATCACTATTTATGTAAAAGTTTACGATCGTTACGTGCTGTTATTAAGCACTTCTACGTGCTTAATAAACACTTCAGATTTCAGATCATGCATTAAGCTCTAAAAGTGATGATTGAACGTCACCTTCTTGCCTCTTTCACTTGTTTAGGTTCCATGAATAAAATGAATGAATAAAACAATCTCGTATGTGTTTGTTTCTGATCACAGCAGTTGATAACTCTCCCTTTAGCATAATTTTATTTAAAAGAACATCCAGTTTTTTTAGCGTATGTAAATGTTATGCTGTAGACGCTACTACATATGTTTTTATGCAAAATATGTGACTTTTACGCCAAATGTGACAACCCAATTTATTTATATCACACATTTTCGTCATCTGCTTAAGGTCGTTACCTATTTATCACAGTACAGACAAAAAAGTTCTGTGTCAATTATATGGTCTTAGTTATACAACGGAATTTATTACAGATGGGATAATCAAAGATGATGGATAATCAAATCAAAGGGCAAATTTGTATATGTTCCGATCGATAGAATCAAGTCAACATTTCTCAAAAAATCCGTAATTTGAAATTTACATTCGTTCAACTTTTGTTTGAAACTTTAACAAACAGTTCATCTTTAAAGATGGGCATATCTGACAATGAATCGTTGAATTTCCGTAATTTACATTGCAACATCATCTCGTAAATTATGCGGTTAGGTGCTATAAATTTACATGCAGCAGCTTGTATGCTTTCTAACTAGGAGTACTCTTTCCCTTACTCTAGATTTTGTCGGTAAACTTTTTTCCTAACTATAGTAGTTTTTTACAAGATATTAAATTTCATAATAAATTTAAATTCACCTGCCAGGTAAACACCAATGAACACGGTGGCACCGAGTTTCTAGGAAACACACCTAATATGAGTAACGGATTATAATGACATTGAGGCGATTTGCAGCGTTGGTGAACTATTATACACTTGAAACTACTCTTGACGCATAGTGTTGATTGAAAATACTCCAAACCTCTAACACCATAAAACTACCTCAATACCCACAATTTTTCGCCTTACTGAAAAAGGGGAGGAGATCCTCCTAGTCGAAGAATCTTGGGTTACTAATAACTGGATTTGAACACTGAATATAAACGTGTCAAGAATTAAATTAATTAATATAACCAAAGAAACTAAAAGTAAATGAAATAATTATCACCTTAAACATATTTCATTGTACCAAAACATTCAAATAAAAAATAACAGGTCAAGAGCAAATTCAGATGTGGCAACCGAAAACAACATTAGTTTGTTTGCTGAAGCCATATTTAAGTAAAATTGAGAATTAATTTTAGTTTTTATAACAGTTTTCGCACTGTTTACTGTATTCAGTGTATTAAAATTTTACTCATGTTTTTATGCTGTTGAAGAGATGGTAAAATCAAACGCGAACCATATTTTTCTGCTGTCATATTTTACATTTACACGGGCATTTTAATCTTAATGTCAGAACGGAAAAATGAACAGCGAAATTAAAAAAATGTGTTAGTAAGGCTGTTACATTGCATACGAATTTTGTCTTGCGTGTTTAGCTATATGTTTACTCATGCGAACACATGGCATATTGCAGTGTTATTTATTAATTTCAAATAACATAAGATGCATAATTTTTATTTTTCAAGGTATAAAAATGTGTAGTTTGTCTGTGTTGCTTAAACAGTAAAATTTGCACATCGCAAACCATTTCCTAAAAGTAGTATTTGCATTCAAATTTATTCTCATTTATAAACTTAAAATACGTGAAAACAACACTTACCTTTCAATTTCAATATTTACATCTTCGATTTTGCACGAACGAATGCATTTCAAACAAAATATTTTGTTTAATGAAATATTCGCATGAGAAAGACAAGACGTCGCGCGAATAGTTCTGAACAACTGTTACTACTCACATATGATTACATACATTTGTTTTGTTCGTACGAATACGCAAGAAGAAATTCGCATGCAATGTAACCGCAGCCTAAACTGTAAATCGCAAAGGAAATGTTGAATTACTTTTTAGGCCATGTGCGAGTTCGAGTAAATTGTTCGTAAATTAAGAAAAATAGTAAATTATATCGGTATAGCAGCGAATGTTAGTATTTACCAGAATTTAGAGTAGGGTAAATTAGATAAAAATTAAGTAAATTACTCGCATGAGAAAGACAAGACGTCGCGCGAATAGTTCTGAGCAACTGTTACTACTCACATATGATTACATACATTTGTTTTGTTCGTACGAATACGCAAGAAGAAATTCGCATGCAATGTAACCGCAGCCTAAACTGTAAATCGCAAAGGAAATGTTAAATTACTTTTTAGGCCATGTGCGAGTTCGAGTAAATTGTTCGTAAATTAAGAAAAATAGTAAATTATATCGGTATAGCAGCGAATGTTAGTATTTACCAGAATTTAGAGTAGGGTAAATTAGATAAAAATTAAGTAAATTACGTGCTAACATTGAGAAAATTTTTTAAGATGTTAAATAAATAAATTTGAAAACATTTAACCAAAAATAATAAATAAATGCAATCAATAAATAAATAAATATTTACATAAGCAAAAAATCTCTAGAAAATTTCAATTTACTTTACCTCAATTTACTCGAACTCACACAAGCCTTAAACGAATTTTCAATCTGCAGAATACATGAAGTGCAGCAAACATCAAAAATTAATGCAGCAAAATTAATTATTAAAAATAATTCATATGTGGCTTGTCGCAATAAATAAATGAAATCTCTTTGTAAAATATATTGACATATAAAAGTATATAAAAGTAAGTATAAATGAAGTATGACAATGTAGACACTTACTTTTTGAACATATTAAAATAAATTAACCAAGCAGGCATGTTAACATGACCAAGTTAATGGGTTGACAGATTGAAATTGTGAAGGTCATATGAATTTTGTTTAAATAAAAAAGTAGGAAGGTAAATACATCGTAAATATTGCTTTGATCTGGTCTGTGATACAACGCTTATTGCATCAAAATGGTTATCAAGCACAGTGTTAAGGGCTACGAGGAGTTCACAAAACTCGTGACTGAACTTGAGGGATGCGGCGATGTCATATATGTGCTATTCAGCGGTGGAAAGGATGAAAATGGCCAGAGCTGGTGCCCATATTGCGTAAAAGGTATGTTTTCCATACATTATATGGAGATAAGCAAAACAAACAAATTTTTTTCTTTGATAAAGCTTTACCGGTTATTGAGGATAACATTGGAAAAGCACCTGATAAGTCCCATTTTATTTATGTTGATGTTGGAGAACGTTCTTAGTAAGTAATATGTTTTATTTATTTATATTAATATTTAATGCGTGTCCGATGTTAGTTTTAATAACAATGAAACGTTATTTTGTTGTTTTATTTTCTTATGTTGAGGTTAATCCGATTTAGTGCAACTGGGCACTTTTACTCCTTCTTAGCTGGGAGGTTCATTTTACATCTAATGTTCGTTTGGGGCTTTCCAATATGTCCAATACGCGATATCTTTATAATAAATAATTTTATTATATTTTTTTCATTGACATTTTTTGGTAGAAAACTTTTAGTTAAAAAAATTATTGAATGTATACGAAAATTAGCGAAAATTACAACATATACGGTTGTAATAATTATATTAATTACATTTCTATAACAAACGGAAAACGACTTTCACTAAACACGACTTATTAACAACTGGTTCTTATTCACTTATTCCATAAGCATTTGAGCTTAAAACGCCGGTGTCCTCTTTGATGTGCATTGCACATTCAATATTCTCTTGTGTTCTAAAGCAAAACTCTTTGATATTACCCTGTAGGAAGTTTCTTTAAAATAAAACCAGTGCGTAACGGGTCATTACAATTACTAGGCCTGTAGTGGTCCTTTTTAAGTGATCCATTTCAGATACGTAGTTCTGCAAACTGGTGTAATTCTCTCACTCTATCTGACTTTGATGAGTTTTTAAACTAGCCTATGGGAACCATTTAATGTATGTACTCTTACCTAAAAAGCATATATAATTAAATTAAATTGCAATTTAAATATAGTTGAATTAGAAAGCATATTACACGTATTTTTGCAAAAATATGTAAACGTGTAATATACGTAAAAATTATTCATATATTATTTTACATAGTCACTTAATTATAGTATTTTATCTGATAAGATAACATAACATAAACAAACAAACAAAAGAAAGGGCAAAATATGATTAAGAAATACCAATGCAATACCATTTCTCTTAACATCAACTGATTGGGCTATACTATACTAATAAACCGCATGAACTAATTTTAACGGACAATTGTCTGGTCTTTTCCGACGGGGCATTTTTCTCTGTCTAAAATCATCATATATTGGAAATTTTATGTGTTTATTTTGCAAGCAGTGAAGAGTTGGGGCTGTTTTTGTTTAGATCAGCACGATGCTCAGAGATACGTACTAAATGTACGTTACTCTTTTATGCAATAGATCTAAAGTAGTTCTTCGAACAGCTGTTTTCTAAATTGCTGCCATTGCAGTTTATTTTATGCACTACATTGTTTTGTCGAGGCTTGTCGATTGGTGTCTTGAAAATATTTAGTGCGTGCTATAATGGAGAATAGTAAGGACAAAGTTTGATTTCATTTGTAAACTTTCAGTAAATATCTATTATTAATTTCTATTTATTGGAATTAAAAACATTTTAAGATTGATAGTTGGCTTCTGTTCTTTTATTTTATTCTGTTATTTTTATATTTTATAATTCTATTTGGGTTATATTTTTTTTCTTGTTTGTTTAAATATTTTTCATCATTTTCTTTTTGTAAATTAATCACACTAATCTAAAGATGTTACTAATCATATATTTGACTGTGGGGGATTTTTTATTAAAAGGTTCTGTGGAAATTGTTTAATCTTTCCAAGGAGATTGTATAAGACCAAGATACGTTAATATATATTCTTCCTCTTCGTGTTTTATATTATTATAAAATGTATTCCATGTGTTAACTATGTGTTAGTGTTCTCTTCCTCCTCTTACCGTTTTATGTTATTGTAAAAGGTATTCAATGTGTTGACTATTTGTTAGTGTACTCCACCCGTAACTTGATCACTTCATCATAGACACAGTCTACCTCTATACCTTCTATCAACGATTTGATGTGATACAAATATCTTTTTCGCTGTAGCATCTTTATCCAACCTCTCAACATGACCAATGTTAAAAGGTTGTTAATTCGAATTCGTCTAATAGTGCAAAGCAAAAATGAATGAACGCGCGGCATTAGAAGGAAACAAATTACTTGGCTGCGACATATTTGTAACTGAACTAGTCTAAAAATAAAACAGAATTACTCCAATATCGTCAATTTAAATCCCACCCATCCCCAATACACCCCTTTTCTCTCAATTTCCGCCTACTCCCTCTTTCTTCAACCATCACCCAATCATATCCTAACACATGTGTTCATCTTGTAAAACCTTTCACGTTATCTGATTTCAGGTCTCATTGGGTTACCTCAACAACATATTAACAACACCCCAATATCGTTTTAAAAGAATGTATATTATTTCAGATTGTTATATTCTTTTTCGCTTTATAATGCAACTAATATTTAAGTATTATATATATAAAAACAAAACAAATTAGTTGACTGCAAAATTATGTATACTTATACTCTTTTATGAATTATTTTATTATGTGCTCGCTTAAAATCCTGTTGAAATTTTCAGAAATTTTTTATAGCAATTTGGTAATTTCATCCTTCAATTGCGCCTATAATGTTACCACTGTGTTTTATACGATTTCTTATATGTTACATTTAATGCATCAGTATAAAGATTTTATTTTCTTTGTAATGAAGTGGGTGAGTACTTTAAACAAATTTTGTTTGTCAAGTATAAGGCCAAAATTGCTTACTAACAGATCAATCGTAATTTTCGTATATTTTATAATGCCAAATTATCGCAAACTTATAACGCTTATTCCAAATTTTATTTTTTTATCTACATACTAATTATTATCTTCTATATTGGTAAATGTTAGGAATAACCAAAAACTACCTTAAGATTGGCAGAATATTATTCTATTATTATTATTATCTATACATGGAACGATTTATACAGAGAAGCACCTAACAGAGTGCGGTTTAAGAGAATCGTTGCGGCCCTATGCTCCACTACGCGAAGAAGAAGATTAATATCAATATTGTATCTAATCTTCATTTCTTAGTTTAAGAAATAAAAATATCATAACCTCTTGGGGTCCATTTTCAAATTAAAATTCAAAAATAGTTAAATATTCCTTGATTTGATATACAGTCAAACTTCCATAACTCGATCTTCTACAACTCAAATTTTCTATAACTCGAACCAAAAACAGTGCACCAAGGTTTTAGAGAGCAAATTACATACAATTCTGCATCCATAACTCGAATTTCTCTTAAACTCAAACAAACATTTTTCCCGTACCGATAGGAATATGGGGAAAGTGCATTCTATAAGTCGAATTTTTGTTTTAGTATAAACATTTAGCATTTTGCTGTTAGGGGAAGTCCATTTTTTCAAACCAAATGTTTAATTTTTTTCTTTCTTATGTTGCTTCTTTGTTCTTTGTACAAGTGCCAGTCGCTGGCAGTGTGGTTTAAAGTAAATGAAATAATCTCCAATGCTACACTCTTAACGGTTATATTGAGCTTGACAATGAAATTTGTATATCAAGCTTTCCTACAGATGACGATATTATTGAGCACTTTATGGAGATCTAAATTACTGGATTCAATTCTAAGCGCAACGGAAAGTGATGGTGAGGGTTCCGTTGATGTAATTGTTTATCAGCCCTCCAAGAATGAAGTAGAATACTCATTCAATATTCTGAATTTATATTTGCAAACGATTGATACTACAACTGTTGATCACTATAAGGCTTTAAATAAAATGGAATGTTTTTTTACTGAAAATAACAAAAATAAAATCCCAAAACTGTGGTATATATGATTTAAAATAAATAAGTAAATATCTTAAAATATAATTCTAGTTTCTTTCATAAATAAAAATAAAATAAAATTTTCTAACCCGAAGTCCCCATAAGTCGAACCTTTTCTTTGCAAAATTGGACTTCGAGTTATGGAAGTTTGACTGTATATGGTTTTCATACTAATTGAAAATGAAATTTGTTTAAAATAATTTTTTGTTGAAGAGATATTAAAAAAATATTTCAAACATTATTTATTAAAAAAAAAAAATACGAAATCTAGACAAAATTGTTCGATTATTACTCATTAAAATTAAAAAAATGGAACTTTAATTATAAAAATTTTTTGAACATAAAGTGATATTTTTTTTATTTGATACAAATAAATTAATATAATTTTATTTCTTTTCGAATTTTGGATTTTATCCACAATTAAACCAAATATTACCAAAACAATAACAGATCATTTTTTCGTAATACAAGAATAATCACCAACGGTTCAACTATAATATCTGATAGATCTGTAGTGTGTAGAATTTAGTTATATATAATACAGTTACCAATGAGTGGAGTCTAATCGAATTTTGGGTATAAATTAATGCTTCATTCCAAATTTAGTGTATACAGTGTATGAATTGCTTTACTTGCTTGAATTCATGTCAACTACAAAGTAGTGAACCCTATCACTTTTGTCATGCATGTAGCCAGTGTACTATTATATTATTGATGCACACTGATTGAGTATTTTGTAGTTACTGATTTTATTTAAAACAATGTTGTGTTTTTATACAAAATTATCTTAAGACTAATTTCTACATCAAGGTTAAAATAATATGATTTTAATGGACTGTATTACATTTTGTTATTGTTTGTAAAAAAAGGTTAAAAAAAGAAAGAAGTCCCAACACTAGGGATTTTCCTCCTATTTTTATAAATATATTTTATTTTAATAATTTAGATACGGATGCTAAAAAATGTTACTATTTCTAAGAATTTAGGTGATAGTGGATTTATAATAATAAACTATAATAATTAAATATATAAATTCATGTTCATGATTGAACAGCCAGTGTTAAGCTTATATATATAAATTTAAAAAAAATATTTAAACTTATATAATATATAAGAAAACATCGCTTTTTTTCTTATTTCTTCATGTATAAGATATCAGCAAATGCATGAAATAATTGCTTATGCTTTTTTCCTCAATTGCATACTTTAAGCAAAATATGACAAACCTAACATATTTGCAAACCTAACATATCTGACCATAGTCCCATTATATTTAAAAAAATTTGAAAGAAACCTTTTTTTGAACATTCTCAATACTGAAAAATGAAGTATTATGTTATATATATTATAATATTAATAATATGTATATTCTTGACTTAAATAAAAGTGTATATGACAAGTATTAAGATTATAAAATTTTCAATAGGTAAAGTACTTCTTTGTTTTCATTGACAAAAATTGAATAGAAAAGAGTCCAATTTTAAAATGTGACCATTAAAAACGATTAATTTCTCATCATAACGTCAGCATCTTTACAAAATTCTAATATTATATTGATTTTGACAATCTCTTTTAGCACAGTTCTATGAAGTTTTTCCTTTGCTAATGAACTTTAAAGAATATACTTTTCCTTACTACTAGTATATTTTATATATAATAAAATATTTATAAAATACAAAAACAATGTATAAAATTGTCGCTGCCATTCAAAAACTGAAAGACTACTTAAGCATAAGAAACAAAACTCCCTCGGATCACCTAACCAGATTGATTAAAAATATATGTATATATCTAAAATGTATTTATAAAATCCCCTTGAGAGTTGTTAAACGGCACTTGGTCGTCATGGTTGAAGTAAGTAGCTCCGGGATATATATCCAGCTGTTCTTAAAAGCTTTACAAAAGTTATTTCATTCGCGTCAGAGATCGAATGTTTGCCTTTTTTGTCGTTTGTGCTTAAGATATATAGTAAAAGCTATGTTTTACTAATGTTTTTTGAATAATATAATAAGATTGTATTATAAATATTTTTTATTTTAATGACATCTAATTTGTAATTTATATTTCTAGTTGGAAGGATTTGAACTGTCCGTTCCGTAAGGATCCTTACACTAACTTGGTTTTCCTACCAACATTCCTCCGTTGGAAATCGCCTCAACGTTTGGATGGTGAGCGCTGTTCTAACAAGGACTTGGTTGAAATGCTGGTCATTGATGAGGACTAAGCAAATAACTAACAGAAAATTATTTTGTATTAACTTTTCAATGTAAATAAAAGCAAGTTATTTTGAAAACAAAATTATTTATTTAATAATTACTTTTATATTTTTTTATTTCAACCATAACTACATGAATGTTAATTAGTTGTGCACGCGCGTTAGGCGTTAACAATTTATGAAAGCGATTATAATATTGCACCAAACTCGCCAGCGCCAATTGTAACAATTGTGAACCAATAAGAAGTGATGGAAAAGATAATAAAACTTCGCGATTTAGTTCCTCTAGCGACTTTTTCCAATTTGCTGAAAAGCTAGAAACTAATGTAAGACTTCGACGCTCCTGTTTGCGCAATTCTTCTAATTGTTCTTTTTCAAAGAACTGCTCACATTCTCTAATGAATTGTATTATTCCACCGAAATGTGGGGCTAATATTTCTTCAACATATTCAGCACTTCGTGCGTTAAGTTGTTCTCGAAATGCTTCTGCTTCCTTTGAATTATCACGAGTGTGCTCCATTAACACACCTAATACAAGATCATAGTTATTAATTAAATATATTAACTGTTCTTTACGCGTTGGAAATATGGCAGCCATGCGTAAAATAAAGCATTCTACTTCATTTTGTAATTCAATCAGTAAACGACTGACTACTTCGTTTGGAAAACGTTCAGATATACCCACAATAGCTGCCGAAAACTCTGCATATCTCCTGGTAATCTACGAATTAAAGCAATTTATTTGAGTATATTCAAAAATAAATATTTAAAAACTTACATAGTGTGGTCCCATCTCCTTATTAAATTTCGTGGGATCGCATTCTCGAATGCTTTGTATATTTAATTGGAAAACATAATCGAAACGTGGCCAAATGACAGCTTGGAGCGAATCCCAGTATCTGTAATTGTAAAATGAAAAAAGTTTAAAATTTTCTTATCTAATGAAAAGACTAAATGTGTTACTTATAATTTTATTATATTAAATTAAAAACCACAATGCTTACATCTTTTAATATAAATAAAATGATACAATTTTTCCATTTAACATATTTTAGAATGATTGAAATGTACTTCTATTGGTGCATGTAGCATTCTACTACATTTCCAAATGGTTCATATCAAAGAATACCTTATATCTATAAAATACCCTAATATCAATGAAGGGTATTCTTTGGCTCATGAATGTTGTTGTAGCCGGCTGGGAACTGCTTGTGAAGTCCCTTTGGAAGGTGTCGAACAGCATTTGATCGTCGATAGCAACGAGTGGCTCCGGGGCGTAGACGCGGCCGTTCTTGGAAGCATAGTTTGAATGTGATAACGGATAGCATTTAAAGGAATTACTATTTTTTTTTAAACATTCTAAGTAATATTTGTGTTTGATCAATATACTCAAATATGCAAAAACACTCTAGACCATATACTTCAAATGCTTGAGCTACTCAATCAAATAGCTCATTAGCTTAAACTTTAATTTAGTTTAATTCAAATATATACAACAGAATAAGATGGAATACAATTCGACTTCATCTCGATCATCTTAAGTAATATTTAAAGCCGTAATTTGATTGAATTTTCTTTAAGCAAACGCATTTATTTATTAGTTTGCATATACGAAAAATTTAGTATCAATTAATGCTCCAACGGTCTGCGAAAAAAAACTAAACTTTATAAAGTCGAATCTTAATACTTTCTGACAAATATTTTATTAAATGAAAAACTAAGTTCTCAATCAGATTCTGTGTAGGCTTTATAATAAATAAAGCAAGGTTCTAACTTTTGTGATTCAGAAAGTGGTGCTTAATCAATTACAAGTTAAGAAATGTTGGTAGTATGTATGAGTAATTATTTTCACAAGTACATACTTTTGTCTAACAAAAACTACAACAGATATATACTTAATAGTGCTATTAGAATAATACATAAAAAACTTACTTATCTAATGCAGGAACACAACGTTTATGACACATAAGTTGATAACGAAAAATCAGTTGAATACACAGAAACATTGCTATAGTGTCATAGCAATCCTGTATACTTGCTTCAAGGTTTTTCTAAATTCCAAAAATTCGCTTATTTTAGCATAGCACATTTATATTGTAGTTTAAAAATATAGCTTACAATCATAAGGGTTAAAGTTTTGCCCATAATCTGGTTAAACAAATCCTGCGCCTGTGAGCTACGTATCATAAAGAATTCAGTTAAAAACAAATATTCTCGACAAGCATTATCAACCAATGCATATTCCTCCGATCGAAAAAGTGCCTCAAACGTGTACTATAAATAAGAATCTTGCTTTGATATTATATCATTAATTAATTTTCAAATAGTCTACCCTATTTTTTAATTGTGCATGAGGGATTATTATTGGTGCTTCGAGCTGTTGATGAAGTACATCTCCGCGTTTGCCAATAGTAAAAATTGTACTTTTATTTTTAAGGCTAGTCGTTTTTGCAAATAAACCTTTGGAAACGTTATCCTCTATACCCATTAAATCGTCCTTCGAACAAGATTCTTCAAATTTTAAAGACGTCAAGCGGGAAGAGTAACTCTATAATTAAGCCAATACATTTATTTCTATTTTAAAAATAAAATTTAACAATTTTTATTTTACCTTAAAGTAACTGTAGTAAATTTTGCTCATAGTGTCAATGTACTCACTACATATTTCTTGCGCCACTTGGCGCTCATTCGATAGTATGAATTCAAAAAAAAATTTATGCTTCAACATAGCATTTTGAGGTATTTGATAATTGGTCATTGGCTTACGAAACTTGTATATTTGTTCAAGCAAATATACGCGTATTTTCGACATAGCCTTCAATTTCAGCTTCTGCAGTATATCGCTCACATCTCCTGTCGATTTGGATTCATTAAAACTCAATTCCTTAATCAATGATAACTTATGATTAAGTACGTTCAAATTCATAATGAAGTCCTTTTCAGTTACTGGTTTTTCCATTATAATTTTGATCATTTCTTCAGAGACCACCATGTCTTCAATAAATTGTGAAAGTTGTGCTTTAACAGATTGCCTATTTGTTAGCTGAACAGACATTGCCACTGATTTACGCTGCAGCTGCGTTATTTCCGTGCTAATACTGCTTAGAATACTTTGGAAGTCCATAAGCATATTTTCCATACGTTCTAAGACATCGTCACAATCTCCTATTTGATTGTGCAAACTTGCTACATTTTTGGATTCAGCTATGTAGTCCTCGATTGACTTATTTTCTACATCTTTAAATTCTTTTTCAATTTGTCTAGAATACTGACGCAAGTCGGTTGTGTTTCTTAATATTTCGCGTACTTCGTTACAGTCTAATTGTTCCGAAACGCTGTGCTGTGAACCATCACTCATCGCTGTAAAAAATTTCAATTTTAAATTATTTATGACTATAAATTTTACTTAACAATTATTATGCTTAATTACCATTCATTTCATATATATTATAATTCAATATTTATCAATCAACAAACTTTTGAAAAATAAATCATAACACAGCATAACTATGTTGTTATTGTATGTTAGGTATAAACTGAAAAAGAAACGAATTTTAAAGCAAATATAAACATACCCATAGTGCCCTACGGACGGTCAGAGGTAATCAAAGACATTGTTTATTTTTTTTTTGTTTCTGCTTTGATGGGTTTATTTATTGAACCTTTGTAAATAAAAATGAACAATAATTCTGCGAATCTTAAAAAACTAACATGTATGCTATTGAGCTAGGGTATTCATATTATATCATTAATTTTATATAAAGACGGTTTGACTTCAATATAACTTGTCCACGCGAGTCTTGATTTTAACCTCAGGGCATGTTTTCCTCCTTAGAGTAGACATTGTTGACATGCTATATCCCTAAAGTTGAAATTAACTAATAAATAGATTGTTTTTTAATACTTATTATTCAATATATTATTCTTATTTTTATTTTAATCGGTTTAGTTTATCATTTTTGCAAATTGTTAAGGACATTTTATATCTCTTATCTAAGATAAATGAATATTTACTAATAAATAGGCACACAGCAATATTATTTAAGGTGAGCACCTTATTATTTATTATTTTATTCATATTTTTATTTTAATAATTTTTTTTGCAACTGTTTTTGCAAATTTTCTATATCAATATGAGTTATCTTTTGGTTTTTAATAAGTTATCTACCGCTATCTACGTTATTTGTTATTACAAATTTTTTTTCAAAATATAGATTAGAGAATATAAAATATACCCTTAATCTTTTATTTCAAGTATGCTCCAAAGAAACTTTACTTATATCTTGTTACTATATATATAAAGAACAAATTCTTATGTTCTTCTATTTCAACTTTTTCAACTTCAGTTTTTACAGCGTACAATCTATTCATCAAAGACACAATTTTATTTTCAATTTTATTACTATAAAAACTATACAAATTAATTACATTTGTTCTGATCTTATTTTAATTTCGTTGTTTTGTACTTTTGAGTAATCGTCTTTAAAGAACTCCTTTAATTGTTGTTCTGATAACTGGCATTTTGAAGCTTTGTTATCAGGAAATGTGTCCATCATACTTTGTTGCTCTAAAGCTGCAACAAGTTCCTTACTACGTGAGTTTACTATTAAATCAAGTTTTTCTCCATCTCGTGTAAAATCCTTATTATAGAATTTAGCTTTCTGACCAACTTCAGTTTTAATTAACATGCAATCGAAACCAATCTTTATAAGAGATTCAACAAAAGTATTTGCATTTTGATTCGGAAATATTGTATTACTCGAATATAAGTAGCTCTCCAAAAGATACAGCTCAATACTTATGGCATCCTCATTTTCGATCCATTTAACAAATAAAACATCTTCCTTATTAGCTAAATACCATAATTTACGTACAAAAGACATTTGCATAATATTTTCCATCTTTCCTAGCTTGTTTTTATTATCTGAAAAACAAGATAAATCTTTATTGATACATAGGAATTTTTCATTAATGTATTATAGGAGTATTTAAAAGTTGTTAAAAAATATTTCAGGTTGCTCTCTACGCCATTTGTTTGGAGCCATTTTATGTTCATTTTTACATTTTATGTAAATATGAACATAATTTTATATGAAAATAACTTTATGAATAGATTAAAATTATAATATATTGTATTATTATCATATATTTTAATATTATAATTTATATGTAATAATATAATAGCTCACCAAAAACAAAATAACACTCACAAATATCAAAGTTTACAATGTTCGATCTGAAAAACGACGCCGATGTTGTTCGTTGTATTAATCGAAAAATACTTCGAGCAAGAAACTTTTTATCAAAGAAGATAAAGAAAAGAAACTGAAAGTTGCTCGAAAAATGGTTTTATACACAATCTTCTGGATAATTCAAATAATATTCAAAATTTTGAGTAATGAGGTATAAATATCATGCAGTACAAAAACAAAAAGACTAATGGTACACAATGGTGCGCGGTTATTACACAAAGAGGCATAATGATTCAAAATTTCGTTTAAGTTTATTTTCTTTGTCTTCTTTTTTGTGCCAAAAAGGACGTTTTTACGTTTTTATTGTACGAAACTTCCGAACAAGATGACAGGGTGTCAACTATATAATTATTTAATATATGTACTTAATTCTAATATATTACAGATATGTATGAAAAAATATCTGGAAAACAACATAAAAGCATTAGACGAAATAACCTATATTTCAAAATATCTTATTTAAAAAAAATTGTGTACAGAAGGGATCAGATACAAGTATAATCATGTGCGCGAAGATAGCGTCGACGATAAGTCCAAAATGGAACTGGAACAGTTTTCGCCGCATGAAAAATGCAGTATACTTTAATTAAGGAAAAATTTATTATATTATTTAAATTTAATTATTGCGGCAAAAAGCATTATTAAGTAGACAATTAAATTAATTTACTATTTCCATCGAACTTTTATATATAAATGATGTTATTTGTATGAACAATGAAAAATAAAAATCATCCCCAAAAGATAATGTCACTAATTTATTAATAACTTTTTAACTAGAGATACCATTTTTTTCTTTCATAGCTCATTTGAAAGGATAAAATCACCTTTCATATAATGCAAAATTTCATATAAGTTGTTTGATTAACTTAGAAGCAGTGTTGCGATGAAGGTAGAAATGTCATTTTCAAATATTATTTAAATAAAACTTTATTACTTAACAAAAAATTATGAAATAAAAAGCATATAATAAAATAATAAAAAATATGTTTGTTTTTCTAAATATAATCGGTTTGTACTTAATATAGAAAAAATTTTTTTGCAAATTAGTTTAATTAAAAGAGGACACTTCAAGCCAAAGAAGATAAAGAAAAGAAACTGAGAGTTACTCGAAAAATTGTGTATAAATTTTTCTGGATTATTCAAAAAATATTCAAAAATTTTGTGTAATGAGGTGAAAATATTACGCAGTACAATAACAAAAAGCCTAATGCTACATAATGGCGCGTGAATATTTTCCCCACCCGGACCCTGATACTTTGCCCACCCGGTCCCTACTCACCACGATATTTGCTAAAGTAAGAGAGGTTTCTGAGAAATTTCGTTGTTTGTTTTGGTTTTTTTGACATTAAAAATCCGTTACGAGAAAATGCGCCAAAGTTGCAATTAAGTGCACAAATACCACATTACTAAAAGAAAAATAAGGCGGAATTTGTTTTCAATTATAAAAGCATTAAAAAAAGGTAATTATTCCAGAAAAATATATGAATTATTAGTTAATTAAAATTTATTTACAATTGAAACGGAAGTGCGTACTTGGATGTTTAAATTTCAAACATCTCTATATTTTTCCAAACGATTATCGAAGGTATATTATTAATTAAAAATAACGCAATTTATTGTTGTAGAATAAAGTAAATATATAAATGTATTAACACATTAGAAACTTAGATGTGTGCCTAATTAGTGTATATAATAAACTACGAATTAAGTTGTGCTTTTATTTTTTATTTTTTCCATGATATACTAATAATTATAAAAAAGGAAAAATTCTGAAGAGAAATTAATATTATTAATTATACTTTGATTGAGTGTTGTTATTATATATACATATATTGAAAAATTAGAATCACAATTTTCGGATCAGTTTGATAGCAATTGCTATAAATTAGGTTTAGCGCAACATTTATTTAATAAATTAGAAAACGTTCATCCCCATATATGTTGCTCTAATTGCAAAATTGAAACTCTTCTATCTTTTTTCATTAAAGTAAGAATTTACTTCATTTTAAAATATTTCAATCGAGATAATAAAGTGTCGAATTTTAAATATAAACAATTATGCTTTCAACACTTATAAACAGCACAAAAGTGTTCATACTCTTTAAGTGATTTTTTGCTTAAACAAAAAATATTTTAGTTTTAATTTTATAATTTATTAAATTTATTTATAATTTATCTTTAATTTAATAGTTCCTTATTATTTTTGGTTTCATATTAAATATTTTTAAAATAGTAATATTATTTTGTATATATTAAGTTATTCTAAATTGTATTTACATAAAATTGTATATTTGTTAAATAAAATATTTTGGTGGATAGGCCTATTGGGGAACCGAACACCTAAAACTCGGTAACACGCCAGCAAGCATACCTCTTAGGTGGTGCGGAAAATGCTTATATATTTAATATTTCTTCTAACACTATGCGATGAAATTGATCCTTATTGTTTACAATGTTGTTATTAACTAGTTAAGAATTTCTTGAATTTCATATACAAAAACATTTCACCTTACTGAAAGGATTGCTTAAAACTACAAAAAATATGTAGTAGTAAACAGTATATACATTTTTACGATTTTCTATATTGAAAAAATTTGATGCACAAGCAAAAATTGTATTACAATACACCAAACTTATTTGAATTTTAAAAAATTATATTAATATTAATCTTTTTAAAACAAACTATTAAAACAATGCAACCTAATATTCGAAATGTATGAACACATACTAACTTTTCTATTAGATGCTCAGCATATATATAAATATAGTACGTATATGTGCAACATGATTAAAAGAACTTTTATTTTAATAAATGCGATACAATTTTTTTAACTTTATTAAAACAATTTCATGACTAATTATATATACATATTTACATATATCAATAATAGCTACTTTATATTTACTATTGATTTTAGTTTACCAATTCTTCATTTATATTTGATTTATATAGCGCATTTAAAACTTTTATGTAAATTGAAGTAAAACTGATATAAAAAATCATGCCTATATTTACTCATTATAATCGTATTAATATATACAATGGATTTTCCAAGAACAATAATTTATACTATTTCTTCTAATTAGAAGAAATGGCTACATGCTAATATGCAACCACAAATGTAGTAAATATTTAAGTTATAAGCCACACCGTTTTTAATATTTGACAATTCTGGTATGGTAAATAAGTAAAAGAGATTTTCTTTGCGATATTACACAAAGAGGCACCATTATTCAAAATTTCCTCTCAGTTTCTTTTCTTTATC